CTCACTTGTCCCGTGAGGATCTCAAAGGCCTCAATTTTCTTCTCAAGGGAGAGACCACGAGACACGGAACTATCTCCTGCACGTGAGAATTTCACTCCCAGAAAAACCCAATTCCCATAATCAGAAACCCCAATTCCCCAGCACAGAAAATTTCTCGAATGAAATCAATATCACTCTCTGATTATCGATCCGCTAGGGTGAAAAACAAAAAAACTCAAAATTGGACTTGGAATTACCTCTGCGGGGATCAAGAGGGGACGAAATAAGAAGGCTCTCAACCCGCCGCATGACATTGGTAGCCGCCATGATTCAACAAATGGGTACGAACAAATCGGCTAATCTGAACAGAAAATCGAGCCACAAGATTGCTCGCTTTTCAAAGGAAGACTCTTTCGGGAAAAGGTTTCGATTTGTAATTGCAGTTATAGAGAAGTCAAGAATGAACGGAGACGAAGGAAGCAGCGCGATTTGAGATTCAGAAATGGCAGACGCAAACGTATCAAAGCCAAGGAACATGATAGATTAAACCCGACCCGACTCAACCGGTTTATTCGCTTACGGTCTGATTAAAATTAATACCGGGTTCACTAGTACCACCGGTTAGCGAGCTCAAGAAAATATACAACCAAGTAAAAATGCTCTTCTAAATCTCTCTAGTTTGATTTGCTTTGATCCTTTTTGAGTGTATGTAAGCAAACTCTTTAACTAACGTTCGTAATGAATGAAATTCAGACGAAAAAAAACAAAGGTGAATTGTATTATTATGCTATACAAAACGTATCCTAATATCGCCCACGGTAAAAAAATTTGGGTTTCCTGAAAAATTTACAAACTCATGAGGTTTCTGATGATCTGGTCTTTGTTCAAGTATTATTGGAAGGGTCGATTCTGATGATGAGAGAGTCCTGTTGTTGATCCGGTGGTGGTGGTGGTTCTGCGATGGGTAGCATGGGTGCGTCATCATTCTTCTTCCCATCTAAATCGCTTGCGTTCTCAGCCAATGCTTTGTCCAATGATGATTTCGCCATTCTCGTTATGCATATTATCAGAATTACTGCATCCACATAATTCAAAACAACAATAATCAGGTCACACACGAAGTAAGAACCTACTTGGATATATATATATTTGGAATTTGATTACAGAAGAGACTCACCAGCTAGAGCAATGCCAACCATCATTAGTACCTGCATTCACCAGTTACCATGCAGAAGAAAGATAAATCAGACTTGCATTGCAAGGGGCTAGACACCATAACATTCCGAATAAACCTCACACTTGCTTTTAACTTTATTATTTTTCTTACACTAGAAACTTCTAAATCTAGGCAATTTGCTCTCTTCAGTCAAGCTGATCTACGGTCATATTCAATCTAGCAGCCAAGTAATGAAAACTTACCCAACGAAATACTGACACCTCATGCCATCCATGTGTAATATCAGAAAGATCTTTCAGAGTAGTCCCAACATAAACTAGCGCAAACGTAATGGGCTGTTACATTAAAACATTTCAGAAGATCTGTTATGGATGAAATAAGCATCAGCACTTTCATATGCATGCTAACTTGAAAATAATTCAAGTAGTTTTCTCAGTTTTTCCACTTTGTTTCGATCCATGAATTGGGTACATGCAACGCATGTCCATTTGGGTTATACCACAACTACTTATTTCCAAGGATAGAGTCGTTCTTGGGTGTAAAAAGAAAGATCAAAGCACTAGGCTCTCCTTCCACAACTATCAAAGTATAAATGGCCAACATGCAAGTGAATACTAAAGACATGTCAGTACCATCATTCCCAACCAAGTGGCCAGCATGTATTCCCCTAAGCGAACGGGGGTTACAGATAGGAGGTAATTCAACATATTGAAGGGAAGTATGGGGACAACGCGAAGCAGCAACACTATCTGTAAAGGAAGAAAATATCAACATGCAGTTAGCAGTCAATCAATTAAATGTAGCCAGAATCTTGAGGTACTTGGCCATACTAATGTAGCCAGAATCTCAGGTATAGCTTGTATGAAGAAAACGAATTTCCAATTAACTGAGAGAGTGCTACTTTCATGCCTTGAAGCCAGATCTTTGTATTGCAACAGAGACAGCTTGAAACTTTGGGTAATGCTTTATTTTTGAGGTGACATAAGATTTACCAATCTGCATGATACCAGGAAAACAAAAGATAATCATTAGTGACAATGAGATGGCGAAGATAAGAAAGACGCCACACTTAGTTTGATTGCCTAGTTGCGAAGATGCAAAATACAGTAATCAGTTACTTCTCTGGTTATAGAAAGCAGCACCATTGCAAGCGAAATATATCAGAACAGATACTATCATATGGAAGACACATACCGTTCTACCAAGCAGAAATGCTGCTGTTGCACCTAATGTAGCTCCAAGAGAGTCGGCTACAAATCCTACTGGCAGGCCAAAAAGATAACCACCCCCTAGCTGCAGAGACCAAATTACCACAATCAGAACAGGGATAAAAATCCAGAGTATCCCATCTTTTAATGGAAAATTTATGCAAAATAAACACCATAGAAAAGCATCCTAGATTTCAGTACGTAGTTATGAATCGACACCTACCGTAAGTACAGAAGCAGGAACCGCCACAATTGTGAGGGGAATATAAGCCAAAGCCCTGCAAAATTTCAATGTGTCAAAAAGGGCATATCATGGAAGCCAAAAAACAATGTCAGGAAACAAACCAATTGG